GCACGTCAACCTTATCCATAAGCAGTTACAATTCCTTGAGTGCCACTGGACTTAACCGTCAATTGATATCTCCGTCTTCGATCGGCATCTTCACTTTATCTCCTTTTTTCATTTCCCTGGATCTAGCACTTAGCCAAATTCACTATGACATTGGCTACGTTGGTTTCATCATCGAATAGATATGTTTGTTGACCATTTACCATAATGTGTCGACAGCTATATTTCATAGTCATCAATTAATCTCACCGTCTGTCAATGACTGCATTATATAACCATCGGTGACTATCACATTACTCACCCATGACTATATCAATCTCACCACCAAGCTCTATAATCGACCAAATCAACTTCATGACCAATTCTTGCGATTCTAAAGAATTGGTCATCTTTTTATGTAAACAGCGGAAGAGGAAGAAAACTCTAAAGGCACAGAGTGACTCGGGATGCAAATCTAGTTACAAGGATACAAATTAAGCAAACATTTGTTTTGTGGCAGAAGCGGGTGTAGATGAAGAAGAGGTAGATTATGAACTTATATATGATAATATACATGAAATGCTCGAGAAGATGTTTGTTGATATGAGAAAAGACAAGAAAAAAAATAGGGAGAATGACACAAATGATTCATAAACTTTGATCCAACATGCATTGTGATCTCTAAATTTTTAATTTATTCAATTTGGTTCTTAAACTTTAGCCCAATGTATAACGACTCAGTCCAACGTGGGCGGGGAGTGGTCACCGAGGACAGAGGGTTTGGACAATGAGCTACTCCTAGCAGGCTTTTAGGATTGCGAATGGGGTAAAAGAAACAATCGAATTGTGCACAGAACAAGGGGAGAGCAATTTTGAGATATATATATATATATATATATATATATATATATATATAACTGAAATTAACTCGCAGAGGTGCCTTTTGACATAATGACAATGCTTAATTTTGGAACTCCAAAGCTAAGCATGCTCAGGTGGGAGCACTTCTAGGATGGGTGATCTCCTGGGAATATGCCCACCTGTATGCCAATGGACAAAATCGTAAGGCTCAGTATGAGATGGGCCAAATCGGACAATACATCAATGAGTTAATCCAGAGATGTCACATAATGTGCAATGCGGTCTATAAACTTTTAATTTATTCAATGTGATTCTTAAACTTTTGGTACATGTTCAATATAATCCCTAAATTATATGAAAATGTTTAATATTATCCATGGGCTAAATTGAACAAATTAAAAGTTGAGGGACTACATTGCATATTCGACTAAAATTTAGGGATCATTTACGTCACAAGCCGAAAGAAGCGAATTCGTTTTAAACTGAAAATAATGATTTGCCAAAGGAAGAAATTCTAACCCTCAGAGAACGAGATTCTCTGTCGCAGAGTCAAAATTCTTCTATAAAGGGGAAACCGAAAGATTCTCCATTGGCTCGGGAGCCTTGAAAAGGATTTCCAGTCATCGGCGTATAACAAAAGGGCGGTTTAGGTTTCGTACCCGACAAAAAGCAAGAACCTTTGACCAAAGCAAAAGGAGATGAAATTCGATTTCAAAATACAAAACTCATTGTCACTCTCATTCTACTAAAATCCAAAGTTGCACAATATCCATCCTCCATGCCCTTTTTCTAAATAGGAAAAAGAATATTGGCGAAACATCCTGTCACGACCGAGGTTGTCTCATCCTATGGCTCTTAACAAGAAAGGGACCTGAGTTTGTGTGGGTACCAAGAAAATAGTGAATTTGATATATCTTGTATGTTTCAAAACGAAGAGAGTTAATATTAAAAAAAGAAGATGGTATCTCGATAGTAAGTGCTCACGCCACATGGCAGGTGATCTGACCGAATTCATCCATTTCCCTATTGAAATAATACTGATCAACTAACGGTTTCTTATCTGAGCACAATGGTTCTATTGTGCTTGGTCTTTTAAGAGACGATCATGCGTTACATCATCTGTTTATGGCATATCGATTTTATTCCTATTATTTTGACGAGTGAAAGTATAAGGTAAACTTAGAATTTCCTAAGCTATGATGACCAATTACATCGTGTTTATTGATTCGAAGCTGCACTACATAGGGTTCAGGGTTCAGGGTCATGCGTCAATATGAGTAAGAGAGACGATGTGATCTGCTACACTTACGTACCAACCAGGTGCTTGCAGATCCCATCAAGAAAAAGGGTCATGGAAATCATGGGAGATTTAGGGGACGGGTTTATAGAGATGATCCGAATAGAAATCCTACTCCATTACAATGGTGTAGGTCGAAGCCTTTTATTTTGTCTTTCATGATCATGTTTTGAGAGTTCAAAGGTTGATATTATCGTCGACCATTTGAGAAATGTAGCACATGTACTACTTTTAGGTGCATCATGCATCGGAGGAATAGGGGGTATCAACACAAATGATGGAGTCCCACTTCCGGTTATTGCATATATGCTAATTAAGTTCTAAATTTTTAAGTTTTATCAATTCGATCCTAAATTTTTGTGCGAAATTTCAGTGTAATCTTTCCGACCGGTTTTCACCGAAGTCTCTAATGTGGCGGCGCAATTCTCGTCGGCCGCCCTATATCGCATACCATCATGTTAGCAATTTTCGGTGAAAATTGGTCAGAAAGACTCCATTGGAATTTCTTGCAAAAGTTTATGATTAAATTAACAAAATTTTGAAAAGTTTAGGATTCAATTGGCATCTGTACAATATGTTTATGACTAATCGGATAATTTTTCTACATAAGGTTCATTAGAAGTGTTGTGATTGAGAGTACTATGAACTCATGTATAGTGTGAATGAAAATCTTCTAGTTTTATATTCACCTTAAGGTTCAAGGCAAAATCCACCTCTAAGCATTCATTATATAAAGAACCCATCTTATCGCATTTGTTAAGTGGGTATGTATTATAATGTATTGGGTCTATGTGTGCTTATCATTGGTAAATAAGTGGAGGATTTTGGTGAATATATATATGGTATCGACCAATGATATGAACTACGATTAAAAAAAAAAAACACAATAAGCTAGTCAAATTGACCCAATTGACCGTTAAGTGAACTAGTGTTTTATGTTGCATGAAAGGGAGCAAAGAATATATGAGAATAATTTTGTTCCAAAAAAGGTGCACTCTGAAGTGAAGTGCACCAATGATATGTTTTTACAGAGATACTGTATTTTGAAGTTAGTACAATCTTAAAAAAAAGTTTTTCGGGAGTGCCTTGCTTCAATCTATGTTTTGTCTGAATTCTTCATTCGATTTGGTATTTTCCGTTTTGTTTTTCAATTTCGAAGCAGGGTTTTGAATTCGTAATCTTATGCCACAACAGGATGCTCTTGTAAGAAGATGCAGCTGCATATAACCTAGAATACACAAGTTAAGATAGTACTAAGAATAAGGTGTTTGGCGAGTGTTTCTGCTCGGAGTTGGTTCGGCTTTCCCGAGGGATTTCGAGTCTCCAGAGCTCCTCGGGGAAAATATAAAGCGTTTGGCAAGTGTTTTTGTGACTCCATTAGCCAAATGCTAGACCTGGGTTCACTATTTTCGGAATGCTATCGTGAGGGTTTAATCACTTTTTTTCTTTTCAATATTGCCCTCACTGATGATTATGTGTTCCATTTCTGCCCTAAAAAAATACTGTTCATTTTCATCCTTTGACTCATTGGTTCGTCATCGAGGTTGAGGTCGAGTTCGAGGTTGCCCATCGCCGAGGTTGAGATCAAGGGTCGCGCGTGCCGTCGAGTCATTGTTTTCGTTGGAGCTGTTGTCTTTGCCTGATTTGCTGTGGGTCGAGGTCGAGGGTCAAGCGACCCAGATCTGGCCCTTCGATTGTAGTCATGCGACCTCAGGGTCACCAGTGTCGCCTGGGTTGCAGACGATCGAAGGGTGAAATTTGGGTCGCCCCGAGATTGCGCGACCTCGACTTCCCCGAAGTTGCCAGTGAAGCTTCGACATTGCATATCCCAATATAGAAAAACCCTAGCTGATGTTCAAAGCTCACATGGTCGACAGATGCCTATGGTTTGACAAGGATCATTGGTCAAAAGCTCGCTTGGCCAATGCTTGCCTTTGGTCGCCTCGCTTGTGGCCGCTGCTGGCAAAGCTCGCCAAAGCTTGTCGTTTGTTTCTCTCTCTGTTTTTTTTTCATTTCAAAGTTGCTTTACAAAATATATACAAAAAATGAGTTATCCAAACACTATTATTTTTACCAAATGCACCTTCATCCAAAGATGCTCGCGGAAATGGCTTTGCATTCCTCCAAAATCGAGCCAAACGGCAAGCACTAAAACAAAAGAATCCGATCAACTCTAAGTTTCCCGACCTTTTCTCACGGATTCAGTTCATAGCATCGACAGCCCATGGACACGAGGAGCGCAGCAGCGATCGGGGCTACGATCATGCTCACGGAACGCCCCCTCCACTACTCACAAGCCAATTAAAATTCGGGCATACCGGCATAGAGCGATCGGCGTGCAGTCCGGCGAGATAAGAACGTCCCGAGCTGAGAAACCTCCGACGTTTGCTAGCAGCGCTGCGTCCAATGATGCCTAAAACACATGTTTTAACCACTAGGGGGGTTGGTATCACGTCGTGTACATAGATAGATACATTATGTATGATGGCTATGGTTCCTAAGAAAAGCCAAAAAAAAAGGGGGAGGGAGAGAGAGAGAGGTAGCTCTTGTTCGTTTTAGGGCCGAATCTGACGTGGCGATCGGTGGGGGCCCACCCCCCGGCCCCGACGCTTGACCGAAAACGGGGTTCCCGTCTCGCGGTCACGTCGCTTTCCCACGATGTAGAGGGCGACGGGGGGTGGGGGGCCGTTTTGACTGCGCACGGGCAGCGGGCAGCCTACCCTCCTCGCTCTCTCTCTCTCTCTCTACAGCAGCACGCCTGCCCTTCAGCACACACTACTGCTGCTGCTCTCACTCGCGAAAAAAAGAAAAGAGAAAGAGAGAGAGAGAGAGAGAGCGAAAAAAGTTCTTAAAACAAAAAGATAACACAGCACACCGCGAGAAGGAGAGAGAGAGACCCTCTTCTTCTTCCCCCCCCCCCCACACACAAGAACACTCATCGCGCAGGTGGAAAAAGCTGCCCGGAGAGAGAAGGAGAGGTGACGATTCGAAAAGGGTGAGGGCTCGTTTGAAATGGAAAGCGGAAAGACGCGATTTTTCCTGGAGTTTCTTGGGTAAATTTTCGGTTCCTTTCTTGGGGGGGGCCTCGGCAGTGCTTTTGGCCTGTAATGTGATGCGCCCGGATCGAAGTTCCGTGTTGGGATTTTCGTGGGTTCTCCGCTTTTCGGCGATGGGTGCTCCGTGCTGAGTGATTCGGCGCGGCTTCCGGTGGCGAGATTCGAGTCGGGTGGTGGGAGGTTTTTGGGGGGTCGTTCTTGGTGATGGTGTGTTGGACGCGGGTTTGTTTCTTGGATCTGGGAAGATCGCGTCGGGGTTAGTTCCGAAAATGGAGAGAGAGCTTTGCATTTCGCTCTTCTTGGTGCTTTGTTCGTCATGGATGGCGCACGCCAACATGGAAGGTTTGTTTGTATCTCTCTCTCTCTCTCTCTGCTGTTTTTAGCTCAATCTTTTCGTGCTTCAAGAGAACTTTGATCTTTTTCTTGTTCTTGTGGGTTCGTTTGTGGTAATGCATGTGGCTTTTTTTTTTTTTTGGTTCAATCTCGCGCTTCTAAGATTTTGTGGGTTGCGAATGTGTGAACCGACCTTTAAGTGGTCACTGTTGAGGATATTCCGAAACTAATAGCTGTGTTTATGCTTTTTTCTACTCTTGTATAGTTTTTCCCATGACTAACCTTGTAATCGTGGACTTTAATGAGAAATTGAATGAGTTTGGTGGCTTGATAGTCTCTGTGTAGTGCAATTTTGTTGCCCTCATTTAGTTGAAGCACTTTCGGTAATGTCTAGAAGGACCACTTGAAGCAATGCTATTGCGGAATGCCTTCTCTTTATAATGCCGGTTGCATGTCTAGGGGGATAATTTGAGATCTTGTTGTGTCACAAGTAGAATGAGGCCAGCCACTGCCAATGAGGAAACGGATGTTAGATGATCTCGGGTTGACATGATTCATGAACTAGTGCAAGTAATGAAGAAGTTGTTTTCTGGAGTAATCTTATTGCCTTTGAGAGGTTTGGTATGCTATTTGCTTGACAGTGCACGGTTCCGTGGATATCTGTGAGCTGCCTACTTTTCATTACAGTGATCTTTGAAATTGGAAAGGGAATTCTCTTTTTTCTGAAAAAAAAGTACATTTTTCATGCCAATGGTGACTGTCTGATATTAATTGACAGGTGATGCTTTGCATAGCCTGAGGACAAGCTTAGAAGATCCCAGCAATGTCCTGCAAAGTTGGGATCCCACCCTTGTCAACCCTTGCACATGGTTTCATGTGACATGTAACAATGATAATAGCGTTATAAGAGTGTAAGTTCTCTCCTATTTCTGTTTTTTCTATTTTCAGAGGGCTTTGTCATACATGCTGGTGGAGTGATTGTTGAAGCTTTATTCTGTGGGGGAGTTATTGATGAGGTTTATTCATTTTGACAGTGATCTTGGAAATGCAGCTTTATCTGGTCAGCTAGTCCCTCAGCTTGGTCTTCTTAAGAATTTGCAGTACTTGTAAGTTTTGTTTGAACTTTGAAAATTCTAAATTTTACACCTGAAGTTCATACAGCCGTGATAAAAGTAAATTGTTAGGAGTTTCTTTTTCATCAATTGTTTGAGGTTTTTCACTCCTTGCTAGTTTTTTCCAAGTTGTTGACTGCCGAATTTAGCATGTTGTTGATGTTTACAATTACCTATATTTCGTTTCTGTTGGTCATTGCACAATTGAAACATACTGTGAGTGCCTAAAAGGACATTTTCTTGAGATAAATTTCCTGTATAAGCAATAATTTGGTTGCCGTTACTGGTATAACCGCAAACTTTCTTTTAGACTAGATGCTTGTCACAAGTAGCAAACAAGAATCTGAAAGTGTTTGGCTTTGGTTTTCATGTTGTCAAGGACAAGAGCCTCAGTAAAAACTCTTGCATTTGCACTTCACTGCCTTTTGTACTTGTGCTGCCTAGATACTTCATAGACATCTGATCACCACTCCAATTTGCTTTTGACAGGGAACTCTACAGTAATAATTTGAGTGGCCCTATTCCTAGTGACCTTGGTAATTTGACCAGCTTGGTTAGTTTGGATCTTTATATGAACAGTTTTACTGGTCCCATCCCAGATACATTGGGCAAGTTATCAAAGCTGCGCTTCTTGTGAGTTTTCATCTCCTCCCCGCAACTTTCTGAAGTATAGAAGCAACAGAAAATTATTGGCTACTAAGTCTCGGCGCTCTAATATATTTTGTGCTTTTACTCTTGTTAACTCTTCCTTTATTCTTATTGAATTTTATTTTATATGCCACTGGACGACCGGAGGATTGAATTGGTAGGTGATGAAAAGAATTTTCTGTTGTTTATTAAGGTAGTAATGCCTGTTAAATGATTAGAATCCAAAAGTTTACGCTATTTCGGGGAGAAGCAATGTGCAAGCATAATGGACTTTTTGAAGGGGGTTGAAGGAATTGAAATTTTGCTCAGATGTCATGTAGGAGGAGTCACTCCAAAGCTAAGATATTAGGTCCAACAGGGTATATATGTATATTAGCTAGGACAACCCTTTCTAAGAAAAGATTTGTCAGAACTTTATTATGAGCTAGATCAATGCAAAACTGTCCTTTACAATTTTCCTCTCACCTCTAATAAAATAACAAAGGATCTGCGTTTGACTCAGCACTCAATTCCATCTATCTCCATCAAGGAAGTTGCCATTGTAGCTTTACATTTTCCTAACTATTCTTTTCTAACTGTATACTGATCTTTAAGAAAACCATAGTAAGGCATCAGGAAGGGAAGTGGAAATTGGTTTTGTCTTATTCTCTTCGAGTAGAACCAGTGGTAATTCTACAGATTGCACATTGTGTCTTTTACTTGAAAATTGAAAAGTGTAAAGTCATTGACCTACGGAAAGCGTCCTTAAAATCTACTTGGTTGCTAAGTGAGCTCCAAGCAGGTGGACTATGTGATAACTGGTTCTTTTGCTTTAACGCTTTCTAAAACGGAGAGCACATATTGGAATGATAAAAGGTTTATTTTATTTTATTTAAAAGGTTTCTTTTTCCGGATTTAACAATGTGCTGAGAAAACATTTGTGGAATGATAGGCGGCTTAACAACAACAGCCTGACAGGTCCAATTCCGATGTCTTTGACTAATATCTCTACCCTGCAAGTGCTGTAAGTGATCTTAATACTTGTGAATCAGTAGCACGAAGAATGCTAGACATGCACCAAAGAATAATGTGTCTCTTATGACTCTTTGCAGGGATCTATCAAATAACCATCTGTCAGGAGAAGTTCCAGATAATGGTTCCTTCTCCTTATTCACTCCTATCAGGTTATTGGATGAGATTTGATCTGAGCTGTTCTAATGATTTTTTAAGAAACCATTTTGAACTTGATTTTGTTTATGCAGTTTTGCCAATAATTTGAACTTATGTGGGCCAGTTACTGGGCACCCTTGTCCGGGTTCTCCACCATTCTCTCCTCCTCCTCCATTTGTACAACCTCCACCAGTTTCTTCACCAGGTGATTGTCCTGTTATTGGTTCTTCCAATTTCTCTCAAATCATGAAGCCCTTTTTATTTGTATAGCTGCAGGTTGCCATGAATATTCCCATAATTGTATAGTCGGCTTCTCTCAGAGCTACAGTGGACCAATTTACTGGTGCAAAGTTACCAATTCAAATGTCATATGAATTTTTGTGTAATAGCTTGTTCCTTGTCTGACTTATCTTCTTACCATTAGTTTGATACCGAATAGGTCCTCAGTATTGTTTAATGTAACCTTATTTTAAGTCTTGAATTCAGCAAAGGAATCATAGGTTCATCTGGAATATGATACTCGATTATTTTAATCGGGGAATTGTTCATTTGTTTGGCATTGCTTAATGAGATGTACATGCTTTGAATGGTAATACTCATATTTTTAGAACGCTGCAGGAGGGAACAGTGCAACTGGAGCAATTGCCGGTGGAGTTGCTGCAGGCGCTGCCTTGCTCTTCGCCGCCCCAGCAATTGCCTTTGCATGGTGGCGCCGAAGGAAGCCCCAAGAATTTTTCTTTGATGTACCGGGTTAGTGATTCGGAAGGTCATTGTTTTCCTTTTAATGGTTGTGCGGGGTTCTCATTACTTGCCTCTGAATTTTCTTTTAACAGCTGAAGAGGATCCAGAAGTCCATTTAGGACAACTAAAAAGATTTTCACTACGAGAACTGCAAGTTGCGACAGATAGTTTTAGTAACAAAAACATCCTAGGCCGCGGTGGATTTGGTAAGGTTTACAAAGGACGTCTAGCTGATGGTTCTCTTGTGGCTGTAAAACGGCTGAAAGAAGAGCGCACGCCTGGGGGAGAGTTGCAGTTTCAAACGGAAGTGGAGATGATTAGTATGGCAGTCCATCGTAATCTCCTGCGGTTGCGTGGGTTTTGCATGACACCTACCGAGAGACTTCTGGTTTATCCCTACATGGCTAACGGAAGTGTTGCATCGTGTTTAAGAGGTAGCATTCATGAACCGTTCTTTAAAGATCTAAGGGTGGATACTGCATGTCCTAGTTTAATGTTTTTTCCTCGTAGACCTTCAGAATATAGGGTGTTGTCAGGAAGTGCCTTCTCTGCAGTCTTGCATATATAACGTTCGGATGCTTTGATATCACAGGCTGCAGTTAATTGGACAACTCTAACAATGTCAATATTACTTTTGTTTATTTCTTTGTAGAACGGCCTCCATCTCAGCCACCTCTTGATTGGAAAACTCGTAAGCGGATAGCATTGGGATCTGCAAGGGGTCTTTCATATTTACATGATCATTGCGACCCTAAAATCATCCATCGTGATGTAAAAGCTGCTAATATCTTGCTAGATGAGGAGTTTGAGGCTGTGGTAGGTGACTTTGGGTTAGCTAAACTTATGGACTACAAGGACACCCATGTTACAACTGCGGTCCGTGGAACTATAGGGCATATAGCTCCAGAGTACCTCTCTACAGGGAAGTCTTCAGAGAAAACTGATGTCTTCGGTTATGGTATTATGCTTCTAGAGTTGATCACAGGGCAGAGGGCATTTGATCTTGCTCGGCTTGCAAATGATGATGATGTCATGTTGCTTGATTGGGTATGTGTTGGATATGACATTTATTGTTTACCTGTGCTTTCCTTGGTTATCTTTTTTCTAGCAGGCCAACATTGTTATAATCTTTCTTTTTCAATTTTGCAATATTGAGATTTTCCTAAATAACATCCTGTTTGAGAGAGATGTCCTTTTTTTCCAACTTCAAAGGACCTATGGAAGTTAAAGTTAGCTGCACTCCTTGAATCAACGAGACCTTTATGATTGTTATATCAGCTTCGTTAATTAGTTGACTGGTTATGTGGAGAAACAGGGAATTTTCTTTTTCCTTATTGTGTAAGGAATATAAATGGATTTAGTAATATGTTTTTCTTGTATACAGATGAACTAACAAATCCACACACTGATTTCGATTTGCGTTGGCCATTTCCTGCAAAGGATACATAAGTAACACTGTCGATTGATTATTTGCCTTATCTGGACCAATATTTATGTGACCAAACTAGGCACGTCTTACACTACACAAATTGATGCTAGACTGAAATTATGTTGCTCAAGCGCTATACAGTACCGTCTGAAACCTGTGTACTTAATTCCTGAATCTTTTTTGACTTTGTTAGATAAGCAAGGTCATAGTACAACATTTCCAAATGCTCGAGGCGTTTGTTGGTTCTCTTTGAGCCATGTCTTTTGTCTAGTCTCTGCTGTCTTTTTCAGCTTTCCATCCTTAAAAGTTGATGACCCCTCCAGGTGAAAGGACTTCTCAAAGAGAAGAAGTTAGAGATGCTGGTCGATCCTGATCTCCAGAACAATTATGTGGAATCAGAGGTGGAACAATTAATCCAGGTTGCTCTTCTATGCACACAAGGCTCTCCTGGCGACCGTCCCAAGATGTCTGAAGTGGTGAGAATGCTCGAAGGCGACGGCTTGGCTGAGAAGTGGGACGAGTGGCAAAAGGTGGAAGTCCTTCGTCAGGAGGTGGATTTGGCTCCACATCCTAGTTCTGACTGGATCATCGACTCAACAGAGAATCTACATGCGGTTGAGTTGTCTGGTCCAAGGTGACCCCCTGCATAGTTCAAGTAAAGAAGGCAATTACTTACTATATTATTTTTTTTTAGTTTGAAAGTTTTCTTTTACCTGCTTAACAACCATGTGCTGATTTGTCTTTGTGTAAGCCCAGGGGCGCTGTATTCATTACAAAACTTGTGCATACGAGCTTATCTTGTTTGAGGTGCATTTGCATCATCTCATCTGCTGCTGATATGATTGTGATCTACACGATCAGTTTTGCCATTTGGGAGATTAGTCAAACTCCTATATTTTCATGGTTGGGGATGACGTAGTAAGCAAGAGGGAGGTGGTCCTAAGGGAGGGAGGAAGGGAGGTGGTCCTATTCTGTACTTGGAAGCAATGTTTTTGGTGTTGTATGATATCCCGTGGTCGAACGTGGTTGGCAAAGTTGCCTAACTTGGATTTGGAAAATCGATAGCTTCTTAAGCTTAATTTTGGCGTATGGATCAGAGGAGGTCCCCCGTTGGAATAAGCCTTTCCCTTCCTCTAAGATGTTTTCCTGAGCTTTTCTTCGATGATCTCTGCACTTTTTATGTTCCTTCTCGGAGGAAGCGAAGTGTTGTGATCATTAAGGAACTGCTCGAGAAACATTTCAGAAACCGTCAATTTACCTTCTCTGGGTAAAGCGGCTTCCTCAATTCTAGAATGTCGCCGGCCACGATTTAGCACGATATCATCCCATGCCAACACTATCTACAGGTCTAAAGTGTGGATTGTCGTACAAATTTATATATCTCATGGGGATGAAGAAATGTCATTACACCTAAATGGATTTGATTTCTTGAACTGCGGTCGACTGTACCCCTTAGTTACTTAGGCAAAAGGTATGAACTTTCGTGCTGTCATATGGTTAAGTAAAACCAGTATCAAGTTTTTAAGCTTTGAATGAAACTTTCTTCCAACTACTTGTTGAACCAGCTGGCAAGTGGTATAACCCCTCTGGTTCTCTAATGACACCAGGAGAAGATCGTGTAATCCGATTCTGGGCTTCTAGGATGACATTTTAGATGAGCAAATTTAGGATGGTTACAATGGACCGCCAACTTTTTAAGTTCTATGTACAATGCTACTGGGACACGTGGGTCGTCAAATATGCAAAAGAAGTCAGGTAAGCAAAACTGAAGAGGGGAAAAATAGTACCAATTAAAGCGGTAATGCATGAATCAGGCTTGCGCATGCACGCGATGAAGCATGAACCGAGCTTGTGCAATCATAAATCAAGGAGAACAGCTTAGAGCAAAACAGTACTAGCAATCAAAGAGTCCCAACGAATTAAATAAACATGACTTAAATCAATCATTATCGTCAAGTACTCCTGCTATAGGATGTTCCTCGGAAGAATGTGAGTTTAAGTTGCAAAGTAACTGGCAAAATTTTAGGAACCAGAAATCTATATGAATAATAACCTTAAAGTATGCCCAGAAAATAAGAAGAATAGCCGATCGTAGATGAGATATGGTGAACACCACCACCAAATAACGGATGCAAGAAGCAGAAGCTTTCTTCCAGACACACTACACCAACCAGTTCATTTCTCTTTCTTTTTCATTCCTTTCTCTTCCTTTTGGCCAAACACAACCACATACTGGTCAATTTTCTTTAGTTCTTTCCGCACACGGCGACTCGCCTGACGTCAAGTGAGCTGAATAAGAGACTGCATCAGAGTAGTCTGCTTTCGTTGCTTCTTTTACAAAAATGAGATGAAACGAAAATACCCTTAAAAAGAAATGAAAAAGACCACCAAAAGCCCCAAACTATGTCACCTGTGATACATTTACCCTGAACTTTTTTTTGTGACACCCAAAACCCCAAACTATGCTATTTGTGACACATTTACCCCAATGTACTTCAGTCTATGGGCATTTTTGTCTTTTTTACTTCTTTTTTTTCCCTTTCCGGCGAGGGTGGCCCTCGCCGGGGTCGGGCGAGGGCGGCCCTCGCCGGATCTGGCGAGGGCTACCCTCGCTGGCGTCGGGCGAGGGTTGCCCTCGCTCGCCCGGGCGAGGCGACCCTTGTCGAGCGAGGCGACCCTCGCCCGACGCCGGCGAGGGTCGCCCTCGCCAGATCCGGTGAGGACCGCCCTCGCCTGAGTCGGGCGAGGGTCGCCTCGCCTGGGCGAGCGAGGGCGGCCCTCGCCCAACGCCGGCGAGAGCCACCCTCGCCGGAAAGGAAGAAAAAAAGAAAAAGCAAAAAAGACGAAAATGCCAATGGACTAAAGTACATTGGGGTAAATGTGTCACAAATAGCATAGTTTTGGGTTTTTGGTGTCACAAAAAAAAGTTCAGGGTAAATGTGTCACAGGTGGCATAGTTTAGAGTTTTTGGTAGTCTTTTCCCTAAAAAAAAAAACAAACCTGGGGAGCTAAGTATTGGTAACACCAATAAAGGCCTTTCACAAGTATTAGATGCAATGTAGTTTTAGCCATGACACTAAGATAGGACTAGCAAAAATTTGGTCATTCAACAAATCAAAAGACGCTTCAGGATGAAATGCTCCATTATCTGCATTATACAAATCAACATAGAAAAGAGCAGCTCCTTTCTTCACAGGATGCAATGTAGTTTTAGCCATGGTATGTAGAGTACTAACTGTCAGAAGACAACTAGTTATAATACATTAATCTATCCATAGTTATAAACTCAGGTAGAAGAAGCATGATTCTATGTCCAGTAAGCAGTAACATAGTTACAATACATTAATCTATCCATATGGATCCAAAATAGAACGATACACTCCGTTTGGCAGTCTGCATGGATGAGTTTAAAGGAGCACTTATCATCATACAGCAAAAATTTAGACAATCCTCAAATACCTCCCTATACAAGAGACCGATGAACGCTAAACCATGAAAGAATATGCAACAACGAGTGAACTCAACACAGTAGCATAGAGTTATGTCTCACCAAACTTTTTAAACACGACTTCACTCATGGATCATAGTTGGGCCGCAAATTATCTTTGACTGAATGGGAACCAGATCCCACATCGATGCTCTTCGACGAGAACAAGTTTGGGTAAGAAAAATATGGTTCGTCCATCGAGGTGGATCTCTCAGGCTGGTGATATTCAGAGTTATACTCGTGCACCTTGTGACTGGACACTAATGACTCGGTATCAAACTTAACCTCCTCAGGCGGTGGCTGATTTGACACACCGGACTCCTCCAGGTCTTTATGAATCACTTGGTCATCCAATGAATCGAAGCGCTGACCAGAATTCTCCAAAGACCTTATATGCTCAAGTTCAGGAGTTGGAGCATTAGCAGACTCAGGTGTGGCAGCATAAAATGGGTTATCAGAATCATCCAGGACTGCCGATTTTTTCCTGGTGATCTCAGTGATTCTGACTTGTGCAAGACTAGCTGCAGAACGGGCAGCAGCTGCTGCACGCTCAGCACTTTCAGCAGCAGCTTGAGCAGCAGCAAGCACGTCTTGTAAATCCACATCCTGTGAGTTGCTCTTTGTCCTTCGAAGAGAGGATGGAGGAGCACTTTCTCTTGCAGAGAAGGATGCGGATGAAAGTGATGGGGGAGAAATAAATGGCAGGAACTGTTTATCTTCCTTCACATCAACAGAACCGTTAGCAGTTTCGTCTTTGCGGTCTATAAGATGCTCCTCCACTACTTCCTCGGGATCCACATGCTTTTGAAGGGACAAAGTTTCCACAGTTCCAGAGAGCTGTGAAGATTCATCACCAACTCTGTCGTCGGTAGGGCTCGCAGCAACTGGATTGGGTGGAATAATCTCGGGTGCTGAGGCCGCATTTGAATTTGGCCATACTGAAACCTTGGGAACCTCAGGAAAGTCCAATGAATCAAAGCCTGTATCAGAATCGGGCTGTTCATTGAGGGCATGATCTGGTGTTGAGTACAGCGAATCATCATGCTTCTCTTTAGGCAGGGGTAATTTAGATCCACTTCCAAACTGTGTGGATCCATTCTGCAATAGAGAGGTTACATATGAGATGATCAAGCTAATATAAGCAATGCCAGGAAAAAAACGAAAAATGGAAGACCGCTATTCACCAGCAAATCTTCATGGGATTTGAAAAGCTCAGATTCTGAGGCAGCAGGGTCCCAATCTAACTCATGCTCTTCAGCAATTTCTTTAAGAAGCTTTAGTTTGGCTTCAGGGGAAGGGGCTCGAACTGATAGCAGCTCAATTATCTGCAGTAAAAGATATGCATTTTGAGATTAACCAGCTGAAAAAGCTACAGATTCTTCTAAGTTAACAAAATAAACTGGAGATTTAAAGAACCTGTCGATTAACACCACAATCTGGCATGAGTTCAGCAGCAGCTGCTACAAATTCTTTCCCATACTTCGATGCAAATAACATCTGAACCTGTAGCAGCTCGGGTAGATCGGCACATCGAGGGGCAGCGAAGCACACACTGGATATTGCTTCTTTGAGGTCAATAGGACATTCCCTATAAAAAGACCAAATTCAAAGATCAGTTAAGGCCTATTGGCCAAAAAGAGAAAAAGATCAGGTACGCCCATAGATGCTACTTCTAACACTACTGCATGGCAAGTTATGGAACAAGCTACAAGAAAGTGTAAAGGCTAATTCAAAAATTTGACTTCCAGGCTAATGAAAATGCACTCACAAGATCCAAAGTTAATAGTGAACCACCAACTAAAACCACGAAAGACCAAAGCAAAAATATACTGAGTTTTGGGACTCGAAGCACGAGTTTTCCATTCAATTCAAGTAGTAAATGATCAATAATCAAATTCTATACTGGCCATACACATATCTCATGTAACATAGCCTTTTGTTTTTTGTTTTTTTTTTTTTCCTTTGAACCCGGGGGGGGTTGCGTGGAGGGGGGCTTTAGATATAAAGGGAAAAAGGGACAAGCAGAAGCCAAATCGAAAAACATCCTACTGGCACATTGTTCAATTGGAGAACTACTAATGAGCAATACACACTTTGATTCTAGCCTTCCAGTTAGCTAACTGAACTTTCTAACTTAGTGAACCATTGCCATCACACCCTTACACATCAAGCTACGCATGAGGTGAGGAATGACCAAGCCGAACTACAGGGAGTTTCATTAAGCTTAGGCAACTACATGAACTCTTGCCAATCGACTATACTTTCTTAAAGGTTAGACTTTAGATAGTATCTTTGAATCCCTCACTGTCACTACATGTCATCTTT